ACCAGGCCCCATGGGTGTAGGCCTGGCCACCAGGCGCTCGCCATCGAGCCCCACCCCCAGGCCTGGCTCCAGGAGGGGACCCCGGTGACCTGCGTTCGGGCAAGGGAAATCGTGGATCAATGTTTATACTCATCATTAGGGGTCTTTTGAGCCGCACTTCGTCTGGTTCCTCACCCAGGACCTGTTTGCCTTGGGTGACTCTACCAGGGGCTTAAAGCCCCGGGCAACTTAGCTCCTGGGATCATTGGAACACGCAAACCTCTCCATCACGATAAGGTGTCGGCTCCAGGAGAGGCACTTGAGAAATCAACGTTCATTATTATTTTGTTTCATTGCAATATTCTAACTGTTCTGAGTGTATTTCCATGTTCATCATTCCATTCAATTAAACTCAAATAAAATGAAACATATTTGTTTATTTTCCGTTTCTTTTTTATATACACTCAAAAGGGAAGCAAGTGAAACAAAAAACAGAGTTGCGGGAAGAAGTGGTAAAAATAAAACTACTTATATGTTTACCTGCGGGATTTTGCGGGCAGGAGCGGGACAAAACCTGAATACTGCGGGCGGGAGCTGGAGAAAATAATATATATTTTTTTGCGGGAGCGGGACAGGATCTTGCGGGAGTGGGCAGGAGCGGGACTGAAAAATTCGTCCCGCACAGGTCTCTAGATCACAACCCTAATTATTAAACACATTAAAATTTCTATGATGTTGAAATGTCATTGGCTGTTGCTTGGCGCACCTGCTGCTTTGGTTTGACTACTCGATGGTAGCCCCGCCCCCCCCGAGAACGCGGACTAACAAGAAAATATATAATTGGCACTCCATGTCAAAAAGGTTGCCGACCACTGGTATAGACTATAGGTATTGAGTGGTGTGACCTGTATTATGGCTTTTTGTCTGCTGAAAATAGAGCAACAAGGTGTAAATGCTTGGTATCAGGTCATGTGACTCCTCTGGTATGTGCAGACAATTCCCAGGATGCACTGCACACTATTATTCATTTTGAAATGTATGCTGTGCTGCTTATTTTTCTAAAAACAAATGCTTGTCTTTTTGTTTTGTGTCAGTAGTGTTATCGGTAGATTGTGTATGTGTCTATGTCTTAAATGTTTTCTTTTTCAGACTGAACAGCTGCAATCTCATAGAGACATGCTGTGAAGCGTTGACTTTAACTCTCAGATCAAACTCCTCATACCTGAGAGAGCTGGACCTCAGTGACAATGACCTGCAGGATTCTGGAGTGAAGCTGCTCTTTGCGGAACTGGAGAATCCACACTGTGCACTGGAAATACTGAGGTCAGTCCTATATGACAGGTGAAATACTAAACTGGTATTTGTTAGATATTTGGAATGCAAATTAAATCACAGACTATGGGTATTTGATAGTACAACTTGAATGCCCCCCAACATGTACACAGAAAACAGGACAGTCTAGGGGAAGGGCTGAAGGATAGGCCACATGTGGAGTTCATTTACTGTGAGTTAAGCTCCTGTTTAGGTCTCTTTTATTTAGGCCTCAAATATTTTAAGACCCTCACATGCATTTAGTGCCTCAACCCATAATGCAGCTGATGGAGAATACAAATTGCCTAAGCATGAACTGTGTCAAAACTTTAATATTATAGTGTTTTTTAGGGATGCTCCGATCGATCGACTGAAGATCGATATTGACCGATAATCACATTTTATAACTCGATCGGTACTCGTTAAACTTGATCGACCTTAGGAACCGATCACAATTGATGACGTACACGATGAGTGGGGACGTAAATGTTTTGGCGCTATGACGTTTCGAGAAAATGAAAAAATCGCTATTTGCCGTTTATGTTCCAAAAAAATCTCACGTGGAGGCGCATTGTCCAAAACATTTAATACAACGAACCTCATTCGGCACTTAAGAACGAGCCACCGTGAGTCGTATGGTAACTGCAAAAAAGGCAACATTTATAGTATTACTTTATCTGAAAAAAAGTTAATGGTGAACAGAGAGCTTACATATCATTACAAGCATCAGAATCTGCATTGGTATCGGCCGATCACCATGACAAAAAAATCGGTACTTGGTATCGGTGGCAGTTTCACTCACACCATTTCATTCCCACTAAGCAGGTGTAAATTTGAACTTATTTTTCATATCTTTTATTGTGCATTATTATTCTGACTTATTATTGTTAAATTACTTGCTAGCGTCAATGCATGGGCTGGACCCTTCACAGTTTCATAGATCACAATTTCATTTTCATAAATCACATTTACTTAGGTGGGGTTATAATATTAGTTTAATTTGGGTAATTGTTGCATGAGCACCAAAATGATCTTTCTTTTGCGTGCGCTTGCCAAAGCATCTCGTGCGCACGTGAAGGTATATTTATTTTCATTTTTTGCACAGGTCTCTTCAGGGGCTTCGTAGTCCATAGGTAGAATAGGGGAGTGTAAACTTTAGACATCCTGTCTA